CTTTAAAGTACTTTTGAAGTGTTAAATCTTAAGCCATTGAGCAAAGCATGTTATAGCTCATTTCCACCAAAAGCTTAACTGCAGTTAAGAGCTCAGATAAGTTCCAAGGATTTTAAGATATGGGTGATTGGCAAGGTTAATTTCTTACTTTTCGCTGTTTAACTTTCCTTTCCTTGAAGTGGTAACGAACTTTTTAACCGTATTGTGGCACTGCATGAAACCTGGATTGGTCGGTGGGATCCGAAGTCCCAGCAAGAGACGATGCAGTGCTTTAAAAGGGGACGAAGGCCAGCAAAGTAATTCCAATCGCAGATTATCGCTACCACTTATAAAAATTTTTTGAAACTGTCTACAGGAGGGGGTAATTATAAATCTGAAGTCAGATTTCGAAAATTCAAAATGGCCGATTCAATATGGCGGATGACTTTTAAAAATATAATTAAATTTTCATACAAAGTCTATAGGGGTTTATGGGAGCTGATTACGAATCTAAGGTCTTGAAAGTCATGAAAAATATACATACGCAACTCGAATAAAATATTTTCCAAAAAGAGGCATTTACCGTGATTTTCAAAGAAATTCGGTAAATTTTCGCAACTTTTAATTAGCTGATGGCAGGGCCGGGTTGCGAGGGATGCGACTTACGCGGACGAAGATTTCGTGGCGACATTGAGATGAAGGCGGCCGTGAAAAATCATTTTGAAGCGAAATCTAAACACTATTTTTTCCGTGACCAATATATATATTCACGATTTTAAAAGTGCATTTCGCTTCAGTAGAAATACAATGAAAAGTAAAAAATATTTAACTATACTCTGCTTTGAACTTATCAGCAGCGCCTCGTATATAAACAAAAAAAAAATATTTCACATTTTCGTATTGTTGCTGGCAAAGAACCACTTAAACAAAATCATGCGCAATATTCGTCAAATTTTTTTTTTCTAGTTCTTTCATATACGTATAAGTATCTATATATATTTAATCCTACACACTTATTTTTTTTTTATTAGTTTTTTCGTTATCTATATAGGCATATGTCGTATATATGTATATGTATGCATGTTTATAACTATTTGTGTTGGTTTTATTACAAAGCACGTAAACAATTTCTACACACAAAGTATCCATAGTCACATCTAAGTGTTGTTGTTATTATCTTTTTATCCTGGGAAAGTAGGCTGCATATAAAACTGTAAAATTTACAAAAGAACTCTCGAAGCTGGTCAAAAAATCACAAACATTTTTGCAACTTGCTATATAAATATGTATTTTCTATAATTTCTAGTTACGATTTAGCAAATTTTAACTGAGTATTTAAATTCTTTGCGTTTTTTTACATCTTTTAGTAGGTAATGGAAAAAAAACAAATTCATATACATATTTTTCTAAACTATAACTGTACTTGAGTTGTTTTGTTTTTTTATTATATGTTTGCAGTGAAAAAATTTGCGCACAAAAAATTTTGAATAAACAACATTAAACGCAAATTTAACTAACGGTGCTTCTTACTANATTTTTACATATTTTAGTAGGTAATGGAAAAAAACAAATTCATATACATATTTTTCTAAACTATAACTGTACTTGAGTTGTTTTTTTATTATATGTTTGCAGTGAAAAAATTTGCGCACAAAAATTTTGAATAAACAACATTGAACGCAAATTTAACTAACGGTGCTTCTTACTACAAAACACACTCACATAAATATGCATATGTATGTATGTATGTATATTATGCACATACACATATNTTTGAATAAACAACATTAAACGCAAATTTAACTAACGGTGCTTCTTACTACAAAACACACTCACATAAATATGCATATGTATGTATGTATGTATATTATGCACATACACATATTCGTAACAATAATTTCTTGTATGCTTTTTTGCTGCTAAGCCTAAATGCTAAATTATGCTTATGTTTTTTTTTTTTATAGTTTTATTTTTAATTTTTTTGTTTACTCGAAAATTTTCAATTTCGTATTTGGGTAATTTTTTTGGTTTCGGTTGATTCTAGCGGCCTTTGAAGGGCTTACATGGTACTAAGTTTTAATTTCACAAATTTTCCATTTCGATTATATATGTATATTGGTTAAATAATTTTCACATAAATCTATATGATATTTTAAAGCTTTAATTGCATATATAATTTTGCTAGTAAATAGGTTACAAATAAATGAATTTTTTAAAAATGAAATTTTAGTTACAAGAAAAACTAGAGTACATTTATCTACAATACATATGCATACACATACTTAAGCAACGCAGGTATTTGGTATTTGATAGCAAATTTCGAAAAAAGTAACAAAAGTGCTTAATACTAAGTAGTTGAGCTAACAACTTTTTTTGCGCCCTTATTTCGCAAACTATAAACAGAGCTTAGCATTAATTTNACTTAATACTAAGTAGTTGAGCAACAACTTTTTTGCGCCCTTATTTCGCAAACTATAAACAGAGCTTAGCATTAATTTATAGGCGTGTTTTCATAACTTCCATTTCATAATTTTCCATTTTTAAAGCAAACATTTTTAAATGTTCATATCTCTCCCAAATTGGGTTTGTTGCTTTTTTACTAATATTTGAAGTTCTTTTTTTTTTGTATATATAGTTCTTATACTTTTTAACCTAACTGTACATTTTTTTCATATATTTTTATTTTACTTAACTAATATTTAGTATTGCCTCTTGTTTTCATTGCACCTTCTTCCTTCGCATTCTCTTCTTTACATTCAATTATTTGTCACTTGGAATTTGGTTAGATCCAGCAAATGCTCGTAAAGTAGATCTTCGTGCGGCGCCAAGCCGATCATTATCCAACCACAGATGGCGCCGATGCTGCGCGTCACCGACAAACTACTCCATACACTCAACACGCTGTTGCTATACTGCTCCGAAGTAAGGAAAATAAATAAGATATGTGTTTTTATTACATTTGAGAAGATACGCAGTTAGAAGTTTTAAATACTAATTTTGAAAATCTAAAACTATGCTTTTTTACAGCAGGTCCTAAGCACAGAGAGGGAGATAGAGAGAGAGTTTTTGTTAGGAGCACACAATCGCGTCTACATTCTCTGATCACACTTAAGTACTTATGTAGGTTTCAATCAATTTTCTAAGTTTCTTCGGTGCACTGAACCGGGCAAACGCCGTAAACTAAACACGAAGCTACGAAGACGGCTAATATCAACCTCTAAGAGTTCCCCAAGGTTGACCGCAAAATGCGAACTAAGATGCATCAATCTTAGCCTCACTTAAGCTGATCAGTCTTATAAAAAGTGTTGACTTGTCTCCACCGCATCATGCCACAGGCAACTGAGGCGGTATGGATCCCCGATCGGACAATGGGGATGTGAGCCGATTTTGACTTTATAAGCACGTGGCGGGCATATGTCAATAAGACGAAATGGACCGACTACCTTAAAGACAACATAATCCAGACCATCGCTCTTACTCAGTTCGATGAAGCGCCAAATTTTATGAACATTTATGTATGGATGTATCCAAGACTGGCATGCATATCACAGGCTCCCTTTTATCTTCGGATTTCAGACTGAGATGCATGTCATTGAACTATTTCACACACACATACACAAACACTCCGACTGCAGTGAAAGCTCAAGAGTTCATCTCACAGCTGTCGGGCGACTGCCTTCACCTTTTAATACGCATCGTGTCCAGGAAGCGGCTTTACATGCCCCATTTAGATACCGGGACATACATAATGGATCCATGGGCAATGAACTGGTAGATATTCTCGCCAGGAAAGAGGCTACAAAGCAAATCATTCGTGATCGAGTAAATCCTCATAAATCGTTTTGTAAACTCATCCAAAATCGTTTTTGAACGCAATTGAAGTGCATAATTGAACATTTTATGAAAATTTATGCTTTTTCTGTAAAACCCCCACGATCAACTCCTGACAAGTGCTTACAAGTGCAGGCTAAACATCAACGAGGAGAACCAAAACGCTCTTTCACTTATCACGGCAGGAAATATAAATGGTTACAGGCTTCCATGCTGGGCACAGCGGAGTAATGGACCATTTCTCACAGCTGAGATTATTTGCAGTGTACAGTGCAANTGTAAGTAAGTAATGGACCATTTCTCACAGCTGAGATTATTTGCAGTGTACAGTGCAAGTAATGCTACGAGAGCCAGTAAAAGCACAGCCTATTATTTGCAACTTTGAAACCACTAGGTCCCAGCTGAGCTACTAATGGCCGCTGTACTTAGAAGCACATGAGCTAAGTGGAATTCAGCGAAGAGCTCTTTCGACGCTCCTTTCCGATTCATTGCATAAAGAACACCCCTAATCGAAAAGAGATATATTACAATAGATCATCCATGGTCGCTAACTAGATGGTAATAGCGACGCAGGTCTGCTGCTTTAAATAATGTTCTAATATAATTCGGATAGTTTGGAATCTATGGACAAAAGTTTGCCAGGAACTTATTAGTTTTTTACTTAATAAAAAATGCTTCTTCCACAAAATGTAATTTCTATTGAACATCTTTTCTTAAATTTTGCACCCCTAAACTTACCAATTCTTCTTGTGTTAGCGTCACATTCGCATTGTTATTGAAATAGAGTCGTTCATCAATTGAATCGGAGCAGATTGTTAATATTATTGTCGCTATATAAATCATTGCAATGATTAACCAACGAAATGAGACCAACTCTGAGGCGTTGCTGAAGTTCCAGTGGCAAATATTCATGCTGGAAGAAAAAATATTAAAAATTGCATTAGAATAATTTTAAAAACATGCAAGTTTAGTTGATTATATATATATATTTCTTAGACCTACAGGCTGGATTATAAAAGATGTCACATTAAGCTTCAGGTTTCACCTAAGCATTTCAAGGCATTGAAAATAAAGTACTTTTCAGTAAAAGGAAAAAAATTAAGAGACCGCAAACCGAGCTAAATTTTTTGATTGTTTCCACACATTCATCGCAGTCCAAACAAAAGGTGTTAGGACATACGAACTCGTTCGGTCGAAATCTGTGTCTCTGTACGAAAACTTGTTGGGGTGAGAAAGTAGTGTAACCCCTGAGTAGCAGATGTTAAGATGATACTACCTTATCATCTTCCGCATACTTGCTGCAGTAAGGACTTGAAATGATTAACACCCTTACCGCATGATTTTCGATCGGATAATGACCAGGTATAACTCCTACCAGTAACAAGAGATGTGACTTGTTTAGTTTAAAGAGCTTCTTAGGACGTAATGGCTAAATCTTTGACCAGATGGACCTCCTTATACTGTTTGTGAACGTAATATTTGCCTTTTTTTTGCCTTTTTTAAGATATTTGCCTTTTTTTGCCTTTTCTACCTTTAAAAAAGTGATTATAGCATTTACATTTTTTTTAAGATTAAAAAATATACACATTGCCCATGCGGCTTATAGAAGCGCAGAGACCTCTTGCCAAATTGGTGTTGGAAAAATTCAAAGCCGTTTTCTCAGCTAACGTAGGCTTGAAGACAATAAGGAGTGTGGGTAAAATTGTAAAGGGCGAGGAAAACGCCCTTATTCCCGATATTATGAACGTTTCAAACGTTCCATATTTAAATTGGGCTCCACTTGTATCAACTTACGTCGAGCGCACATTTAGTACATTCAAGGCTTTTCTTCGCGAAAATCGAATGAAAATGCTGCCAGAAAACTTCAAAATGCATCTTGTGGTTCAATGTTACTACAACTATACAGATTAAAGTTTTATGAGTTAGAAACCCGAAAGGATAAAATAGCCAAAGATTCAAAGTACAAATTTTTCATATAATGAAACTAGTTCATAGTTTTTCTCTTTTTACTTGTAATATAAATGTATTTTTTGATTGTTCTTCGTATTTTCTGTCTTTTAGGTGCCTTATTTTGCTTTTTTTGCCTTTCCTGCCTTTTTTGCTATTTTGTTTTGCCTTTTTTTGCCTTTTTTGCAACGCCTAGTGCCTTTTCCTGCCTTTTTCGCTATTTTATTTTGCCTTTCCCAGCCTATTTCGTTATTTTATTTTGCCTTTTTTATAGGTTTTTAGGTCCTAAAAATCCGTTCCCTGTTTATTAGCATCCAGTCAATTACTTCCTTTATTGCAGTAACTTGCAAATCTAAATTTGAGTTTGATGGCGAGTTTCTTAGATCAATCTCTCTCCCAAGTCTCTTTAAGAGAAATTAAATAAAACTATTTGCTATTTGCTATATGCCAATTAAACACATGTGAGACCTTGCCTGCCTTAGGTATGAAGGTAATTTTGAGCACCCTCCACAGGTTTTGGAATACAGATGCTTCCTTAGCAGCTCGCATTGATAGGGGTCAGCGGCGGTACGACACCTCCACAGACTTCTGCAGTCGCGGTGAGAGAGTTAATAGCCGGAGGCTAGCGGGGATTATTCAAAATTTCCAAGTTGTAGGCTTCGTAGCCCACTGGCTCTGAACCGACCAGTGCTTCATGAATAAAAGTAAACAAATAAATCGAGGGACCAAAAATTGTAAACGAATTCCGAACAGCAGAGGGTTTTGATGAGAAGCTTTTTCATACACTGGAAGATAAATACATAGAATCAATTGTATAGAACGATGCTACACTGAAAAATAAAAGAACATCTCCCCCGAAAACTGAACCAAAAACTTTTTTCGTCAAAAGTTACTTGCATTTAGTTTAAAATTTCAATGAATGCCGCGCTGACATTTGGCATTTCAGTCTTTTACCGCAGAAGTGCAGTTAAGCAAAGAAGGTATGCCACAAAAGCCAGCATTCCATTCACAAGATGTAATGAATGTAATAATAGTCATAATTATAATCAGAATAGTAATGAAAAATAAAATAAATCAAAAACATGCCGAATGCACACAAACGGCTGCACATACACGTATGCGCAGGTGTATTCATGTAGCAATATAAAAACATACACATGTACATACATATGTACGCTTTTAAGTGCACTAGAAAATTCTGTACATACAAAAAAAGTTGACAATTAAAAAATATAATTCACACAAAAGCAACAATAACATTGAGCACCGTGTACTAGTCGCAATGAATGTGCACGGAAGTGAAATAAAAAGGGCGGAATAACGAAGAATACCACAAATAGCAAAGTGAAAAAAAGAAGCACAACAGCTGTATGTTGCAGCTGTGCTTAAAAACAAAAACAAAAAAATTAAAAATTTTAAGTTGAAAAAGTTGGCGTGTTAAAGGTCAAAATATTTTTCAATGGCGAGCTTGCATTTTTTTGCACGCTGCTACACAAACAAAAACAACAACTGCATTTTGCCAGTAGTAATGTCTGTAAGTAGGTGCCTGCAACCACTGGTAATCCCAAATACATGGGGCCTACCCTACAGGAAAGGCATGTACTGAGATTCGAAATAGGCAGAACGAAGTTTTTTTGAAGTTTTCACCTGTAGGCAAGCGAAAATGACACAAAAAAACGCCAAGAAGCGTAAACTTTATTTTGGGTTGTAGATCAGGTCATTTTTCGAAGATAGTTTTATTTTAAGTTTGCATCGCGTTTGGAAAAAAATCAAATTTTAACATGGAAAATGTTACTCATACGCCATGCCGTACATGGCCGTACTCATTTGCTGCCACTATTACGATGTTTACATGAGGCGATTTTACAAGCAACTTTTAGTTGCAAGCAATAATGGACAGGTCTAAACGGCCTTTCAACAAATCGCTTCCAACGAAGTTGGCGTGCAGCCAAATTTCGATTCAGCTAATTGCCTCTAAAGTTGCCCGCAAAATCGCCTCATATAAACACCGTATATTTAATACAAAACAATTATTCCATATTTTCATTTATTTTTTTACTATTATTGTTAATTTATACATCGATTTTCATCGTTAGTAGCTTATTTTTATTTTTGCAAAAGAACAGGATTTAATACAAATGAAAAAAACTATTACTGCCAACTATCTTTAGTGCTCTTTGTCTTTTAGTAGTTAATGTTTTTTAATAAAATAAAATAATAATATATCTACATACATATATAAAAAAATAAAAACAGCAAAAATAAATAAAAAAATTTAAAATTAAAGAAACTTAAAAATATTCTTAATTTTTTAAATTAAATCTAAAAAGTAAGAAAAATTTACTAAAAAAACATTCCTCTTAAAACAATAATATATGAAAATTAAAATAAAATTAAACAAAAGAGGTAAATAAGCTCATAAAAATTACATAAATGAAATAAAATTATCTCGATAGCGAAGTAATTTGATGGGCAACTATCTTGAATGCTCTTTACCATCTTCCGAAAGACTAATGACAGATCTGCTTACGAGGGGGTCTTAGCGTTATTCTGTTTAACTATTAGTAATGAGTTTTTTGAAAATAAAATAAAATTTAAAAATTTTCATACATATTTTTCTTTTTAAAACAATAAAAAATAAATTTATAATTAAAAATTTATCAGAAGTAAAGAAAAAACAAAGAAGGAAAAATAAATAAGATATAAAATATATTTTTCATTTCTAAAACATTACAATCTAAAAAGAAACAAAAGTAGATTAAATCAAAAAACTTTCTTTTCAATAAAAAAAAACTACAAATTAAAAGAAAATGTATAAAAAACACAAAAATTAAATAAAAAAGGAAATAAGTTGCTAAATATTACATAAATGATTCAAATTATTTTTTCTTTTTAAATCAAACACTAAAAATAAAAATAAAATTAAATAAAAAAAAATTATTTAAGATAATGTTCCGAAAAATTCAATCAAATTCAAAAAGTAAACTAAAAATAGAAAAAACGAAAAGCAAAAACAGTTTCTAAAACTTTAAAGGAAATAAAAATAAAAACATTTTACTTTTTAAAACAATAAAAACAGAAAATTAAAAGAAAATTATATTAAGAGAAGAAAGAAAAACAAGAAACTATTAACTTATTAAACTGTCGACAAAACGCTATATCGAGGACTGCAGTAGTCTTTATTATTTAGAAGTAAGGCGAAGTAGTTAAGCATCCCTTCTGCAGCTGTGCACCATCGCATAAATAGTTTACTTTCCTGCTGGGTTTCTCTTATTTTATTATAATTCAAATATGAGTAGGTCGAAGAAAGCACCACAAATGGATACATACATATGTATGCCGTAGGTGCAGATAACTATGCACGCCAATGGCAGCGTC